GGGGCATAATTCGAAACCATTACTGTCTGGTAAAACTACAGAGACCGCTTACACACTTCACTCACTCCGTTTCCGCAGAACATTCTCTTCCATTGACTTTGTTACCATTACTAAAACCAACCCCGAGTTCGATTCGCGAACCTGTTATCTCTCACCACATCTGCTCTCACAAAAGAGTGTGTGTGTGTAGTGTGTGTGTACTCTCTCTCTGGTTCACTATATCTTTTCCCTCCCCGTCTCCCCTGTCCTTCTCCGCTCTATACATTTTTCTGCATCCTCCGCGAAGAGCGTTCCATTTAACTGCATCCCACTAGTGTTGGACTGTGCTGTGTGAATTTTGTGCTGATAGTGTGCTATTAAGGCTGGCAACTAGGAATTTGCTGTAAGGTCTCCCTCCCATCTGATAGGACCACTGTGTCGCCAAAGCCAGCTGGAAGAGTCAGTCTGTGGTTGATCCAAATTGAAATACAGCTCCATTAACGGTTACAACAAGGCCTCATTCAGTCTCCTCATTCATCTGCTTTCCAATTGTCTGTGTTCTCCTTCTGCTGTTTCTGCTTTGACTGTTCCTGGGCTTTTTCTTTTTTTTGCTGTTTCATAGTGTTCCACAAATTAGATGGCTGTGAGTAGAGTGGGTTTCACAGTTGCTTTATATCACATAATCACAGGACATTAAAATGTGGAATATTTCCTCACTCTTTCTTTTCTTCTTTCCAGAGTCACAGGAAGTGTTCCGCCAGGCCATGACCTCCTCCGCAGTCTGTCTGGAGTCCTCCCCGTGGCCCAACAAAGCTGCGCGCTAACGAGAAGAGGCCTGATAGGTTCGACCTTTTCACCGCGACGTCAAAGAATGCCTCCGCAAAAGCAAATATCGCGATGGTTGTCCGTGCAAAAGCCGACTCACAACCGGAACCCAGGCATTGATCCAAACTGAACACAACTGGAAGTGAGGCGACCAGACACGCTTGCCAAGAGCGCCAGGCAGCTCGCCAGTAAACACATCCATCAGTGGAGATCCAATCTGGGCATTAGGCTTCCTTCGAGAAAGAGTCTCTGTCACCCGCACCTTCCAGCGCAGAGGCAGGCAAGTCCTCCCGATCGCAGCCAGGACGGCCCCTGCGCCAGTAGGAGCCCTGCTCTGCCCCGGCCTGGCTCAAGCCTGAACCAGCAAGAAGGGCGGCAAAGCGGATATAAGATTGACGCTGAAGAAAGGTAATGTGCAGGCTGCCATTCAAAAAGTGGAAGAATGAAATTGAGTTTCTAAATACAACACAGCCATAATCTTTTACGTTACATTCTGTTCTCCTTTCTCCACTTCTCTCGACTGGCTTAAGGGAATGTTGTCGAGAAGCAGAATAAATCCACATTGGTCTTTTTGAGGCACGTCCATGCTTATTTTATAGTTTTTATCTCCAGGCTTGTTTTTCTGATGTAATTGGATGGCCCTGCGGTGTTGTATTGGCCCCCACCGCACAAATGATTGAATTATCAAACTCAGAACTTCTCAATTCAGACTCTCATAAAAAGCTCTGCACCACTGAAAGCAAAATTAGTGTAGTGCCGTGTTGAAAATAACCTTCACATGTGAAGATAATTTTCATTTTTTATCATTGGTGGGATGACCGTACACACCGGTTTGGTTGTTTGCTTTTTAGACTTTAACCCTGCAGAATTACAGTCCGGACTTTCCCCGCCGCCCATTATGCTCTTATCGCCTGCTAAAACACATGATTGTTGGAGCGGCTCGACTGTGTCGATGCACAGGGAATAGGTTCTTAGGAACTGGTGAACGGCTCTGTCTACTAGCAACTTGTAGCTTATTACAGGGGATTGAAAAGATAGCTGTAAATGCGTTACAGTGCACAACACCTACAATGCAATGCTACAAGGTGCCCAGAGGAAGGCGAGAAGAACCCAGATGAAAAGGAATAGAAAGAAAGTTGGACCCACACTCTGCCAGCTTCCAGCTCAAAAGCTCCATTCCAGCTGTTTGTATTTGTTAGTTTGTCTTTCTTTGTCCCAGCACGAGTCTTTTTCATCCCTCCAGTTTTAACTTCTCCTTTCCCCTCGTGTCCTTCTTTTGTTTGATTTTTTTTTTTTTGTCCCCCCGTGTTTCCCTCTATCCCTATTGCACAAGCTGATGCAAGATGGCAGAGCGGAGGAATATTATGGAGTTTTCTAAACATCGCTTCTCGCCTTTGGCAACAAGCTCTTTGCTCCACCGTGATTGACAGGCGCGTGAGGAGTTTTTTAGTGGCGTAATGTAGGGCAGGCAGAGGCTTAGCTTGGAGACCAAGTAGCATCGCTCACGGCGCGCTTTAGTATGCCACGGCCGGCTTTGCTCCCGCCCCCCCCCCCCCCCCGGGGGGGGGGAGCAAAGCCGGCGTGGCATACTAAAGGCGGTGAGCGATGCTATCTGGTCTCCAAGCTAAGCCTCTGCCTGCCCTACATTAGCGCACCTAAACCTCACCGCCTGTCAATCACGGTGAGAAAGAGCCTGTTGCCAAGGGAGAAGGTGTTAGAAACCCCATAATATCCTCCGCTCTGATCTTGCATCAGGTGAAAGGGATAGAGGGAAACACGGGGGGGAAAAAAAAAAAAAATCAAACAAAAGAAGGACAGAGGGGAAAGGAGAAGAAAACTGGAGGGATGAAAACGTGCTGGGAAAAGAAAGAAACTAACAATAAAACAGCTGAATGGAGCTTTGAGCTGGAGCTGGAGAGTGTGGAGTCCAATTTCTTCTATCCTTTCATCTGGGTTTCTTCTCGCCTTCCTCTGGGCACCTGTAGCATGCATGTGTAGGTGTGTGCAATGTAACGCATTTACAGCTATCCTTTCAATGCCCTGTAATACTACAAGTTGCTAGTACAGAGCCCGTTCACAGTCCTAAGAACCTATTCCCGTGCCATCGACACATCGGCGCTCCAACAATCATGTGTTTTAGAGGGATAAGAGATAAGGCGGCGGGGAAGTCGGACTGATTCTCAGGGTTAAAGTCTAAAAGCAAAACAACCAGACGGTGTGTACGGTCATCCCACAAGATAAAAAATGAAAATATCTTCACAGTGGAAGGTTATTTTCAACACGGACTACTATTGCTTTCAGTGGTGCAGAGCTTTTTATGAGAGTCTGAATGAGAAGTCTGAGTTTGATAAATCAATCATTTGTGGTGGAGGGCAATACAACACCCAGGGCATCCAATTACATCAGAAAAACAAGCCTGGAGATAAAAACTATAAATAAGCATGGACGTGCTCAAAAAGACCATGTGGATTATCTTGCTTCTCGACAACAGTTCCCTTAAGAGTGAGAGGAAGTGGAGAAAGGAGAACAGAATGTAACGTAAAGATTATGGCTGTGTTGTAATTTAGAAACTCAAGTCATTCTCCACTTTTGAAGGCAGCTGCACATTTACCTTTCTTCAGGTCAATCTTTATCCGCTTGCCGCCCTTCTTGCTGGTCAGGTTGGCCAGGCCGGGCAGAGCAGGGCTCCTACTGGCCAGGGGGCTCTGGCTGCGAGTCGGGGAGGAGCTTGCTCCTCTGGCTGGAGGTGCGGGAGAGACTCTTTCCAAGGAGCCATGCCCAGATTGGATCTCCACTGATGGTGTGTTTACTGCAGCTGGCTCTGGGGTCTTGGCACGCGTGTCTGGTCGCCTCACTTCCAGTTTGGTGTTCAGTTTGGGATCTGGCCTGGGTTCCGGTTGGGAGTCGGCTTTGGCACGGACAACCATCGGACTCTTTGCTTTTGCGGAGGATTCTTTGCCGTCGCCGGTGAAAAGGTGACCTATCAGGCTCTTCTCGTAGCGCAGCTTGTTGGCCACGGGGAGGACCTCCAGACAGACTGCGGAGGAGGTCATGGCCTGGCGGAACACTTCCTGTGACCTGGAAGAAGAAAAGAAAGAGGGAGGAAATATTCACATTTATGTCCCTGGATATGTGATATAAAAGCAACTGGAAACCCACTCTAAACCTCACAGCCAATCTAATTTGTGGAACACTATGAAACAGCAAAAAAAAGAAAAAGCCCAGGAAAGTCAAGCAGAACACAGAAGGAGAACACAGACAATTGGAAAGCAGAGAATGAGGAGACTGAATGAGGCTTGTGTCGTTAATGGAGCTGTATTTCAATTTGGATCAACCACAGACTGACTCTTCCAGCTGGTTTGGGACACAGTGGTCCCTATCAGATGGAGGAGACCTTACAGCAAATTCCTATTGCAGCTTTAATAGACCACTATCAGCACAACATTCACACAGCACAGTCAACACAGTGGGATGCAGTTAAATGGACCTCTTCGGCGAGGATGCAGAAAATAAAGGGAGAGGACAGGGACGGGAGGAAAAATTAGGACCAGAGAGAGAGTTACACACACACTACACACACACACTCTTTTGTGAGAGCAGATGTGGTGGAGAGATAGAGACGGGCAGAGAATGAGGTGGATTTGTGTTTGGCTGATAGAGGAGACAAAGTGAGTGAAAGGTGAGGTGTCTCTCTACAGTGGTGGTGAGTGAGTGGAGGCAGAGACACGCACACACACACACACACACACACACACACACGCACACACACAAACACACACACACATAAAGAGCAAAGATTTTATTTTCTTGCTTTGGGCTCTTTTGTTTTAGTTCCTTATCACATCAGTGACATATAAAGAGATACAGAAACTAATTTCCAGGGTTGTGTTCATTTCCACTTATTATTCATCTTATACAATTTCTACTGACTATTTTTTTTCAGAGCTTTCCAAGCACACGGCAGACAGATGGACAGTAGATTAATTCAGAAAGAGAATGAACAAACACCAGAAAGACACAACGTCAGATGTTTGTGAACATCACACCAATATCTGGAGAAAGACTGAAGATGTTCACAAGGGAGGATATTCTAATTGGATCCCAAAAAACATCCTATTAAAAAGATCTCACTTGAATCCTTGTGTTTTCGTTGTTATGACTTCGGCATTTGTTGAAAGCTAAATACTGTAGACTCAGTAAGGGATTCAGATTTAATCAGCAGATTCAATTCTGGCTTCAGATTTGATAAAATGCTATTTAAGTCTAGCCCTGTTTGTGTCTGATCCAATATTTGCATTTCCTTGCTTTGACACAGACACAGACATAAACATACAGCCTCCAGCTCATCCACGCTCTGCACACTTACTGTGTGAAGGTCTTGTCCTGGAGTGGTGTGTCGTTGATTTGGACGATACACTCGTCCTCTTGGAAGATGTTCTCTCTCTTGGAGCGGCTGTTTTCCTCGATGCCTTTAATATGAAGGCCCAGGGTCCTTGAAACACACACAACACAGTGTTGAGAACATACGAGTTCATGGAGGTAAACACGTGTATGATGACATGCCAGCACTTGAATTTTTAATGCATTTCCATGAGTCAACATTGCCATCTGTCTTTCCTTATGAATGCCTGATTGATTACAAGTGGATGTAGCTGTATGCTACGTATGTGTGGTTACCGTCCACTGAGCGAGGAGCAGTACGGGACCACATGGATACCCAGGGGGCCCCGGTCACCTAGAAACTCCACTGTCCTCGTCAGGGTGCTGTCAACAACAACAAAAACACTCACTGTCAAATAAACACACATAGACGTCGTTAAAAGATACAGAAAATTAGGATAAAATACATGATACACTCATATACACACGCACACACACTCCCTTTCCATGTGCAAGCTCTTCAACATCCATTTGCATTTTCCTCCGGGCTACATAGATAGGGATACAAATTAGCTTACAGGTACCTGCCAAATACCAGAACAATGCATGTGTGTGTGTGTGTGTGTGTGTGAGGTTGGGACACAGGTGCACAGCTACTTCAACCTTTATCTACCTGCCTCTCAACTACCCAATCTAGCCGGTTGAAAAAAAAAGAAAAAGAAGAAGAAAAACAGGAGATAAAAGAGAAAGACAGATAGAGGGGCAGATAGAGATGAAACAGAATGAGCTTCTCTAATAATCTCTGCAGAGGCTTGAACTGTGGCTTTTAACAGCAGATAAACAAGGACAGTACCACTGAAGATAAACAGGAAGAGGGCTGCTTTTGATACTGGATGGCTAACAGAGGGGACCTGCATGATTGGGGAATAGAAGAAGAAGATCACAGGAAGCAACAATCCCTGACTGTATGTTTAGTTTTTCTAATACACACACACGCATCACTCCTATCATCAATCAAGCAGTATTGCACTAGTGTGTGTAAGTTTAAGCTTTGCAGTTTCAAATGAGGTTTTGCACTTTTTGCCACTTAGCTACATAGCTAGAATTAATGAAGGTTTTAATGAAAGACTTTATGCATGCAGGTATTTAGCTAAATGCTAATGACTGTATTTTTGATAGAGAGATGAATTGTAGGGTTGCTAATTCAAACAGAATTGATGTGTAAATTCTTTCTAGACAAATGTCTCTGTCAACTTAATGTAATGAGCAGCTCCACTTATTCAAAGAAAAATCTGCCACCCTCAAAAGTTTTTCCTAAATCAATCGCTTGGAGAAACTTCCAAAAAAGGCGAAATTGTGACTTTCACAAAAATTTTGCTTTTGTCCAGAGCCACTTACAATCAATGCATTCAACCTCCAATAAAAACAAGAACTAAATATAATCAAAAATGTGAACAAACATCCACGAGTAAGTGTTTTCGTGAGATCTCAGCCTGCAGCAGAAGATGTGCAGTGGCCCAGCTGCCCTGACTTCAGTTGGGAGTTAATGCAGAGAGTATAGCCTTGACTGATGTAAAGGACCCCTGGGCCCTTGGAGTCACGTGGCTAAAATGGTGCAGATGCAGAGGTGTGTCGGGTGTGAGCATGGTTAAGACTGGAGCAGGGTGTGAGCTGCAACAGGCAGCCCGGGTGGTGAACAGAGAGGTGGTGCAGGTAAAGTGAACCCCAGGCCGGCAGCAGCATCCTGGACTAGCTGCTACAAAGATGGCAGACGCAAGTGCACGTGAGAACATAATGAATAATGGTTCACGAAGAGCAATCACACATGGAGACCAAGAACAAAAAGGGTTGTTTTTTTTTCTCCAGAGCTTTCCTGTAAAGTTTTTATAAAGTAACAGAAAAAAGGAGTGATGAGGCGTCTGTGTGAGTTAAAACAAAAAAAAAAAAAGCAAACATGTCTGAGAACAAAAGCAGTGAAGTTCAAGGTTTATGTGCTTCCTACACAATCCCAAGAACTAGGTGGGATCATTATAACACACTCTTCTGTCACTGTCACCCTGCTCTCGTTAACCTCTGCCAGGGTCACACACGTACTGTACACACAAATCCACACACACACATACACACACACATCCAATTTGCATTCTTATTGCTACATCTATTGCATGCTCACAAACACCATCAGTCACATTCCTCTAAATTGAATTCACAGATACACACATGCATCAAATTTACATCTATTAGGGAACACAGTTACATCTAAATTACACGTGCACAACCCGTGAATTGCACAAACACACGCACAATCACACACACTCAGTGATGGTAAACAATAAAGCTGGGGCAGGATACACACTCACACACACACAAAGATAGTCCTGAATGATGTATATGTATTCACACAGGATGTGTGGTATAAACAAACACACACACACACACACACACAGTTTCAGCCCATTTACATTCATATAAAAAACAAACGGCGGCACAAACAAGCTCATCAGGGGCAACCATAGCTTGTTAGCGCCGCACGCTAATATGCAGAATAGCTCCGCTCACCCATTTTAGTATCCCACTGACACAAACACAAACAAACAGTCATTCCACTGGGGGGAGAGAGAGAGAGAGAGAGAGAGAGAGAGAGAGAGAGAGAGAGAGAGGGAGAGAGAGAGAGGCGAGGGACGGCGGGACGGATGAAAAGAGCAACGAGGAGTGAGACAGATGGAGCTCCCACTCTTGGTTGACTTCCTCTACATCAACGGAGGCCGAGTGCCTAACAAACTCGCGGCCGGGACTCGCTGAAATTGTGCCCTCGCTCGCTCACCGTGGCTTCTTCAACTGCCAACCATCTGTTACCATGGCAAACTATCTGTGAGAGCCGTGCCTCCATTGTATCACAGTGCTGTCAAGACACCACTGTACTGTAAAATGCTGAAAAATCACCATCTGTCATTCCAGCCAAGTCTCTTCCTGAGCACCCGTGATTCTCTCTGGAGTTATTTTTAAAAAGGAAAAAAATTCCTAAGCGGGAAATCAGTTGGCTGCTGAGAAAATTATCTGTACTCTTGTCACGGGCTTTCTGGACGAGACAGGTGAAGGGCCTTGATGGAGGGGTTAACTGTTGCCATGGTTACTGCATGACTGACAGCCTGGAGAAATGAAGATAAAACTCCCACCCTGACAGAGGTTTGCGAGTGACGTTCCCAAAAACAAAAGGTGGAGGTTGCCATGGTGAGACGCCTGTGCACGCCCACATACAGTACGCTCACTTGCCTGTACACACACGCACACACACACACACACACACACACACACACACACACACACACACACACACACACACACATACACACACACACACATACACACACACACATACACAACAAGTGAGTCTAGCTTTAACAGGTCAGCCAGCTGTGCTGCTGGAGTGATTGATTTCTATTTGATGCTGCTGATACACAAAGAAGAACTGGGGTTTTATTTTTATATCATTTGTACAAAACTCTTTACTATAGTTCAAGTGATTAGTCCAGTGATTGACAGAAAACTAAATGATTTTGTGACTGATGAATTATTTAAGTCCCAGACCTAAAATGTCATCCATTTATATGCCTCTCAAAGAGTCGCATCGGTTTCAAATACAGGTGTACTGCACCTGTCCTTTTCAGGAAAACCAGGGTTATTATTGATTATTATGTAATGTGTAAAATGTAGCATGTAGGATCACCAGTCAGATACAAAATGCAGTTATCAGAATTGTCAACACGTCAGCTATGATTAGTAATTACTGAACTCTCATCCAGCTGAAGAGAGAAATCTGTGTGGCTTTTGGTGCCACTGACAGAAGCTATGAGCTTATAAAAGCGTAACCAATAAATCAAAGAAGAAAAAACTGGATAAAACACAACATCAAACCTTTACTCAAAGTTGCTATGCTCGTGAATTCTTTACAAGTTCTTCCCTCACTGAAGTGGAGCGGGACATAAACTAAATGTAATGTACAAGAGAGGAGGTTCAACCAATAGAACTAGTTCTACATAGACTGACAGTGAGATACACCGCGTCACACGTGAACCTCACTCAGTGGGACTGACAGAGGGTGAATAATAAAAAGAAGAATCTAGATATTAATAAATAATGAAAATCTTTTGGTGTAACTGAAGCTGTTTTAGTCTCTATGTCTAATGCACTTTGTATTGCTCCGTGTATAAAATCTGCCACACACTTAAATCGCCTCGGTGTCATAAGGCAACTTAAAAAATTACTATAATAAACACTCTTCCTCATGTTTAACCACTGAAGTGACAGGGTCGAAGCATTTCCCTCAACTCCTGTTCAAAACTCACCTCCGTTCCAGACCACACAGATAAGAGAGATATCTATCCCACCACAAAATGGGACACATAAACACACACACACACACACACTCTTACACACACCCATGCGACTGTTTAATCCAGTCAGTGTCAGGCTGTCAAACAAAGACTGGAGTGTTAATCCTAGTCTCCCTCAATGCATCATCCTAAGGAGCTATGATCTGTCTGCTGCTACAAGGACGTCAACAAATGCACACACACACACACACACACACACACACACACACACACACACACACACACACACACACACACACACTTACCCGAAGTTAACCGGGCTCATTTTGGCCGGGGGGTTGTCTGTGGTCAATCGGTCCAAAGCTCCTTTCAGTACATGGTTGATTTCCTGAAAAGAAAAAAGAAAATCAGTCAACATGTTGACAAATTAACACTTTCCTACCTTCACACACAGACACTAAACAAACAGTAGCCTGTCAGCGAATAGGAGGAGGCCTGCTGCCTATTAGCAAAACAATCTAACGCCACCATCAATCACCTTTGCAGACAGCGAAGAGAGAGAACGACCGCCGGGCGCTTCACCTCCTACCACGAGCCGCTGTCCTTCCTTCACTCTGTCTATGTATATTTCTATCTATCTACCTCTCCCTCCCCCTCCCTCCATCCCTGCCCTGTGTCAGGCAAGGCTCTATTTTTAAGTCGGCAAAATCAACAACTCCGGGGCAAACAAATAAAAAGGAAGAGGGAGAGAGAAATGTGGGAAGAAAGACGGACAACAACAGCGCCAAACTGTTGCGAGACGCTCAAACACAGTCGAGGGTTGGGAGAGAGAAATTGTCCCAAATCGCTAAAGACAAGAAGGGTGCAATTAGGTCCTTCTGCCTTGTCACTTTCATTGTGTCACCAGTACTAATGGCTAAAAAGCTCCCGCCCACCAGCTTGCTCCTTAGCAACCCCCCCCCCCGCCTTCCCCCTTACCACCCCCCCCCCCCCCATCACCACACCCAACTCCCCCGGTGGACCCTCTGTCACACACACAGAGTAAATATATGCTTTATAACACACACACACACACAGAGACACACACCATGCATACATTTCCTGAAAACATTACCTCCACACATAGACTGTGTGGAGCTGCAAACATAAAAATGTGTATTTTTAAACACACACACGCACGCACCCACGCACCCACACACACACACACACACACACACACACACACACACACGTATGTATGCTGCCTGCACAAATGGTGACCCACTTATCTGGGCAGTGTGAGATTACCCCACAATAGAGCGCATGTGTGTGCGGGGGCAGAAAGATGAGCTGGAGGCTCCATTGTTGCTGTGCATCTTCCCGCAACGCCATTAACCAACACACATGCAACACACAGGCTTCTCCTCCTACAGCACATACACACATCCTCATCACAGGGTAAGGCACTGACACAGCCTTTGGGAACAGAAGGCTGTAGAAGAAGCGCAGGTGAACACATGTATACATGCATCAAAAACACACTTGCACTTGTGGTACATCCAGTTTTACAGGGATACCTTGAAACTGAACTGCAGTAATACACAGGTGTGTGGTACAATGACAGAAAAAAACCCTGTATATCTGCATCAACACAATAATAGCACATGTAAGATATGGCATGTGGGGATATACACATATATACACATACATGCACACACACACACACAAACCTGCCTCAGCTTGATGCTTTAAAATTAAGGGATCACGCCATAATGCCCAGTGTGAATCTAATCCCTGATTGAGAGCACTCCTGTTCATGTACACATAAAAACAGCAGCTCTCCCCTGTGGAAGCCCTGCTGTGCTCAGCCAATCAGCTTGCCCCGCTCGCTGCTCGTATCTCAGCACACTAAGAAGGAACATTTGTACCATCCCGGTCCACCCCGGTATGTCACATTGCTGCCTGTGTGTCTGTAATGATCACATCCACCGGATCACATCTGTGGCATTATGTATAGATGTGTTATTACTGTGCACCTACATTTTTACTTTTATATCCATGAACATTACCGTTATTATGGATGTTTTCATTTACCCACTATTAGCAATGATACAGAGACCAGTGTGACTCACATTACTGCTACTGGCACTAATAGCACTACCTGTATGACAACTACCACTACTGCTGTTGCTATTAAAAGCCTAAGTAGAGCTATCAGTGTCTAGGGTTGTGTATCAAACCGTAAAGCCTGCTTGGCACTTACCAAAAATGTGTCCATAGCAATAAGAATCAAAAACTGGTACCAAAGGCAGGAGCCGAATGTCTGGTCAGATTTATAGGTTTGTTTATTTACTCTTTGATCAAATAATACCTGATTTAAATAAGAAAAATTAAAATTTCAAGTTTATATCCAAACAACATTTCACAGTTGAGAATTTTAGCTTTTTAAAAATAGTATCGTATAAAAATGTGGTTAAATTCCTCTAAGTAAGGCCCTGAAACACATAGCACTGCACCATCCAACTGACACTCTCATTCTCATCTGTGCTTACACACCTCAACACTTCAACTCCTTTCAGCACTTTCACTTCAGCTGCCACTTCTTTAAGGGCTTCAACTTAAATGAAGTGTCAATACATTTCAAAAGCTCCCAAGAATCAAGATTTCAAATGTTTCGATTACAATGTGTTCGCTCGTGTGAATGCATCTAAACTATTGCCACAAGTCATCATTTGTGGTTGTTTGGTTTTATATAATCTCTTTTCTTCACTGAGCGATTTGAATGGTTTTGTGGCCTCGGGATAAATGCTCAAATAATTTGTGAAACCTGTCTAAAAACTCGTCTTAGCACAACTAACAGGTTGTCTGCTCTGTTATTGTGTCGCACACTGCCAGCCATGTTTTTGTGCTTTGGGTACTGTTTGTAGTCTGAGGTATGTGTGAGTGACAGGGCGGTGTGCAGGCATATGAGAGATGAGGTGTTTGTGCGTGTGAACATGTTACTGTGTGTGTGGTTGTTGTCAGATGGATGAGTAATGAGGTGTGTGTTTCTTTTGTGTATTTCCTCTGAGTGCTGTAGTCATCTGCAACACGTCAGGCAGTTGAGAAACGGTGTGACTGTGTGTGGGTGGGTGTGTGTGTGTGTGTGTGTATACACACACTGCAGGATCACAGCTTCAGTCTACAAGCCAGACCTACCTGACCCTCGTCATATCCATCACATCAACTGACTGCCACGCTCACACTTCCACACACGTGCTCTTAGGAAACACAATCTTACACACGCAAATGCACAATATCCAGCTGCTAGCATGGAAGACACACACTGCTGGATTGAGTTTAGCTGGTTAAGGTGTCACTTTTTATATCACGGCTGAAGGAAACATCAACACCGGGCAGAGTGTAACATATTTAAATCTGACTTTGTGCTGTGTTAACATGTATTGCATCACTGCGCCTTGAGGTGTTGAAAATCACCTAAAAATGTGGGACGCACAACGAGGGAGCGGGAGAGAAGGAGTGTGTATAAAAACATAATGAGGATTAGTAAAAGCAAAGTGATGAATATGAAGGGAGGAAGAGAAAAAGAATTCAGTGGCTAGCGCTGTTAGCGGGCAAAATTAAACGTCTCATTTATTAACTTCGAACATGGCAGGAAGTCCAAATCAATTAAAGGGCTGAGGCTGAGCACTGCTCAGCCGTTTGCCAATTTCATTAGCTCTTCTGATGAAGAGAGAAAGAAAGACTACGAGAGCTCTGTGCATAGACTACATGTGAATAAAAGACTGAGAGAAGTGGGCCAACCTTGGCCTTCACCATAACAGGCAGTAAAATCAATTAAAGGGGCAAGCCGCATATTTATCACTGTATCAGCCTTAATTACACTTTATCTAGCTTTCAATACCTCCTCCAAGACAAAAAGGGGCACAAGTGTGTGTGGTACTTGAGAGTGTTCAAGTGTGTCTTTGCATGAATGAGTGTGTGAGTGTGTGTGTAGGTTTACAGAGGAGCGGTACAGTGGATGAGTGAGGATGAAGTGATAGTGTATTGATCTATGGAAGTCCATCAGGCCTAAGACTCAATATGCCCAGGAGCTGTGACGGCCTCTTCGTCTTACACACACACACACACACACACACACACACACACACACACACACACACACACACACACACACACACACACACACACACACACACACACACAC